GAACATAGAATAAATATGTATATTGAATTGATTAAGGAGAGTACAATATATAAAGAAACACTGATGGACTTAACCCATTCCTAACCTAAATCCAAATGAAATAAGGAAATATGTCTTTACATATAATAAAGATATCCTAAAGATATTCTTTCCAAAGATATTCTAAAGATATTCTTTCCAACGTAATGAAATAAGGAAAATAGTTCTAAAAGATTGTTTAGAATATTCTAAATTCTTGTAAGATATAATCTTAATATAATATGATATTTTGTAGATATTTTTTTTTTCTTTTTAGCCTAATTCAATCCCAAAAATATAATATAATGTAATTGTGACAAAAATTGTTGTTCAATCCCATATGTTTTTATTTGTATTATTTAAAAGTAAGTAATGTAATAAAAAATAATATAAAAAGCGATTGATTTAAGTTACGTAGAGTCATGGTCAAATTAAAGGTTTGACAGTTTACCAAATAAAAAATAAAAAAATTTAAAGTTGTAACAAGATAGGATACCATATCAAATTAAATGTTTTTTTAATAAACATTTAGTTTATCATGTTTTTAGAGCTAATATCACATGAATTACATAATCAAAAGCATGAATTCTTAGATTTTATAGTGAAAAAGCATGAAAATTGAAATTTAATCTCACATATCTATTTCTTATTGATTTTGAAGGTGAATTATATGAATTTGAGCAAGAATGAAATAAAGGACTTTGGAGTAGAAAATGAAAAATCAAAGAAGTCGCACCTAAGAAGCAAAGTCAACATTAAAGGACGCGCTATTTACATGAAAAATATGAAAGAAAGCTTTGGTAGAGCATTATAACGCACTGTCATGCCATACAAATGAAAACGACCATGGTCATGATGAACAAGCGTCTCGTGGCTAAAATTTGGTTTTACTCAATTTTTATACAGAAACAGCTATTCAGAGGAAAAAAACGAACAAATAAAAATGTATGCGGAAATTTTATAGATGATTAAAACACAAATATACAAGAAACTAAAGGAAACATCAAGTTCATTAATGCATCAAAGCATATTCATATGTGTTATGAAAGTTTCGGATCAGGTTCCGAGTAAGGACAGACTTGGTAATCACTATGATTTCATAATCTTTACCACCTAATTATCTTCCGCCACTCAATATCATGGAAACCTGGTTTAAGCTATACATCCCATAATTTACACCACTTGAACCAACTCCAGCTTCGATGTCAACATTGTGAGGAAACAAATCATCATTGAGAAAGTGCCCTGTCTCATCTGAAGACATTTCGACACTTTCCTGTCTGTTCTTTATCATTAATATTCTCAGTCCTTCAAGTTCCATTGCCACTTCCTTCATGGTAGGCCTTTTCTTACCCTTCTCACTTAAACAACGTTTTGTGATATTGGCAACTTCCAATACTTGCTCAAGCTCAAGAATATTTGCCTCATTTTTTATTTTGTTATCCACAATTGCGAGTAACCTTCCATCATTCATTGAAGAAACAAAGTACATTGCTAGATTTGTATCACTCTCAGGCCTGCTGAAAGAAAGTGCCTTCTTACCTGTGACTAGCTCTGCTAGAACAACCCCAAAGCTATAAACGTCGCTCTTCACAGTTAATTTGCCCGTGTTGACATATTCAGGGTCAACATACCCTAGAGTCCCTTGCACAAAAGTGGTTAACTCAGTTTGATCAAGAGGAATAAACCTTGAAGCTCCAAAATCCGAAACCTTTGCAGTGAGATCAGAATCTAGTAGTATATTAGAAGTTTTCACATCTCTGTGTATGATTGGTGTTGAAGCAGCAGAATGCAAGTATGCAAGGGCTCCAGCAGTTTCTGTTGCTATTCTCAATCGTGTTTCCCATGAGAGTCTTATAAAAGATTGGGTTTGATCATGAAGATGCTGAGAAATGGTACCATTAGGAATGAATTCATAGACAAGCGAGGGAAGTTCTGTCTGTAAACAACACCCCAAGAGCTTTACCACGTTCCTATGGTTGATTTGGGAAAGCACATATACCTCATTGATGAACTGCTCAATCTGGATTGGGTTATTGATTTTGGACCTTTTTATAGCTACCATTCTGTTATCAAGTAATTCTCCTTTGTAAACTTTCCCATAATACCCTTGGCCAAGGACCCTTCGTTCATCAAAGTTGTTGGTGGCCTCCTTGAGTTCCTCCTCACTAAACACTCTCGCTGTTTCACTTGATCCTCCATGCTTAGCTAACAGTTGTTGTAACAATATGCCACCATTTTGTGCAAAAATTTTCTCTTTACGTTTGAAGAGCTTTCTGTTCTTCATCCACCAATACACACAAATTACGATTATAATCACTACACCTGCCAACGAAAAAACAAAGGATCATTTTTGACAATATTCATCGTAATAGTACAAAGTGCTATACGGTTCCAGTGGTATTATACTCACCCAATGCAATTATCAGACTGATAAATGACCTTGAATTAGTACTTGATTTGAGAAGGCAACCGGTTCCATCAATTTTCCCATCTCCTTTGTGTCCTTTGGGGCACGAACAATAGTAGCCCCCGCGGAAGTTGTGGCATATTGCTCCATCAATGCAATTGTTGGATTCCAAGCATTTATTAATTTCTTCAAGACAATATAAAAGTGAGTTTTCCATAGTCCATATACTATGGTTTGAAATCAAGTCATGCATTTATTATCATATCACTCGCACTCATGAAATCAAATCATTGCACTTTCAAGAGCCAATAATTGACAAGATAATCGTCATTAACATCAATATCACCTTTATTCCAAACTAGTTGAGTCAGTAAATCATGTTGATATGTATGTATGGAAAAATTGTTTTTTAACTGAGAAAATTCCCAAAACAGAGAGAGTTTATAAACAAAAGGAATAACAGAAATTCTTAACCAACTATAACTTATAACCCTAATAGGATTCTGTAATATTTAATGGCCAATCAATAGTATATCAAGCCAAGACAGAGAGATTCCTAAATATAACCATCATTAATATTATTATTTTACTGTTTACCATTAAACATATATCTCCACAATAATGTGAATTTGAATTACTGAATTACCATTGTCTCTCACCCGTATGTAAGAACATTAAAATGCTAACCTTAGGTTAGGCTATAAAGCTCCCCTTTGCATATATAGGGAAGCATTACCTTTGTTGCAATTGCAAAAGGCCCAATACAAGAATCTAACATGTGATCTATCATTGTCACGAAACCTTAAACCCTAAACATGAGTATACCTTTTACATTGTGTTGCTTAAAAATATTTGGTAAAAGGTTAGCGAAATCACATGAAGAAATTTGAAGTAATTAATAATACCTTCACAGCCATCAAGAAGGTAAGGGTTTCCCTGAAAACCATCAGAGCAGTGGCAACGGTAGCCAGGTCCATTCTTTGAATTGGAGCAGTAACTGTTTTCTGCGACACACGCATAGCTAGAAAGGTTTTTCTTTGCTTCCTCGCATGTTTGTTTCCCCACTGACCAATCCACCACCACAGGAAACATTGTCCTCTGCAAGTTTACAATATCTGTGGACACGAAGTTGTAAGCTCCTTCTTCAACCAAAAACGCATAACCACATGTATTGAAGTCGTGTACAGTAGTGTGTCTTTTTTGTGAGCTTGAAGATTCAAAAACGACAGTGGATAGTCCCTCGGGGATAGAAGCTTCGCAACAACCAGTGCCAGTGCAAGTACCATTAGCTACGATCTCAACAAGACTGTTGCAAAAAGACTCGCATCCTGTGTTGTAGTCTTTCTGTGAACCATGGCCAGTTATTAGTCCAAGCGTGTCACAACCAATGGCAGTTAATTTGTTTCGGGTTGATGAGATGTGAAAGTGACTCAACTTGAGGCCACTGGTTTCCGAAATTGTAGGTTCTCCGCTATCATTGTAGCAATCTTTAGCTGATTGCAATGAGATACGCAATTCACCATCGAGTGAGATGTTTAGCACTGTTGTTTTTCCACCTTGCAAGAATGGGGTGGGTGGTGAACCTGAAGTTTGGTTGCATGTGATGAGGAATGGGGTGTCAAGGTAACAACCCTCGGTTGTACCAAATGGGTAGGGAATTTCAAGGGAACCACATTTTCTTGTGCAGTTTGGAAGGGGTTGTGCTGCTGTTTCTACTGCCAAAAGCATTGCCAGAAGCAGCAGAAGGAGATGCTGCGTTGACTGCATAGCCATCACTTTGCTGTTTGGGTACCTCTCTTCTATGTGTATATTTTTTTCTTCTGCTTTTGTACCTTTGAGAAGAAGAGTATGATGGAATTTATTTTTTGTTGGAAATTACAGGGTTTTTGGTATAAGTGAGGGAGAAAAACAGAGAAGATTGATTAATATTATATGTTGGCGTGATACCACTGTGTTATGGACCATATAAGGGGCCCATTAAGTAATAAGTCCAATCCAAGATATGGATTGATATTAATAAAGAATAGATATCCGTCAAAGATACTAATCCTAATACGAGAGTATGGCAAGCGGGCCTGGACCCTCACCAGAGACACCAAAGACCCATCCACAGTGTGATTTTGAGGTAACACAAGATACAAAGTACTAATTCCTAAAATATAATGAAAATAATTCTAAAAGATTGTTTAGAATATTCTAAATTCTTGTAAGATATAATCTTAATATTATATATCCTTATATATATCTTTTTTTTCTTGGCTTTTATAACCGTTGGAAGAAGAGTGTGAGGGTTTTAGACATTGTTGTTAAAATCTCGATTTATCATTACGATTTTACGTTTTTATGATTTTTTTCATCAAAATAATTTTACTAATATTCCAAACGCTTTCAAGTTTTTACGATTTTTTTATATTATGATTTTACGTTTTACGATTTTTTTAATTCCTTTCCAATTTTACTTAAGATCTCGATTTTAACAACATTGATTTTAGGTACAAAGGAAGGAGGGAAAAGGAGAAGATTGATCAATATTGATATGATATAACGCGATTTAATGCAATAAAAAAGCATTAATTTTTGTTTATATTAAAGATCAAAGGAAATAAATTATGAAATATAAGGAAATAAGAAAAATATTTTTGTAAATCATGAAATATTTGGAAATAAGGAAATTAATCCTAAAAGATTGTTTAGAATACGTATCTAACCTATCTTATTTGCAGAAATATTTATTATGCTCCAGGATCACCCAATGATTTGGTGCTCTCTCTCACAGCACTAATTTTTCTTTCCCTTTTTACTCCTGCTATTTTTTTTTTCCAATTTTACCCTCTCATTTACACCAAGGGACCACCTAAAAAATGATGGTCCCGGTCCGCTATAAATTCTCTACTTATTTGCAGTGAAAAAGAGATATAATAAAACAATGCGTCTAATTTAATTAATTTTTTGACAGAATTTAAAATGGAATGATTTTGGATGGAAAATTCCATTTATGGTCGATAGTCCATTACGACAAAGATCCGTTAAAACGTTCGACAATATTTTTTACGGACATTTTTTGTTCGAAAAAATATGTCGAAAATCAAGAGTTTTTTTCAAGTAGTATATCCTAAACTCTTTTAACATACAATTTTAATATTATATGATATTTTTTACATAATTTAATTCATTCTCACAATTACCACGTCCCATAATTGGATAATAGTTTACAATTTAATCGAGTATTTATTATTATTATTATTATTATTATTATTAAAAACTAAGTAATATATGAATAATCTATCCCATAAAAATAAAATTAAAAAAATCGATTTAAGGCACGTAGAATCATGGTCAAAACCCAAAAGGTGAAACAACATCAAAGGTGAAGGCTTGAAGCTAAAGTTGCAATGTTCTATATACAACCGTTTCTGAAGTGAAACTGCCATGGAATAGGTTTTGAACTCATTTAATAAGGAGTTATATTTATCTTATGTAATAGAAAAATAGATATCTCATGTTATAAAAATAAAATTATAAGTGGAACTCATGTGTAAGAGAAGAGAGAAAAAATAAATGTGAGACCCACCTTTATTTTATGTGTGTAAGAAACTTATTTATTTTATGCAACATAAGAGAAATATAACCCTTTTAATAAAGGGTTCGCTTTTTCTACAGTCAATGTAGATAACTTATCTACAGTGAGCCCAAAATGATGTCGTTTTGAGGCAGAAATCAAGGTATTTTAGTAATTATAATTTATTTCAAGTTATAATAGTCTTTTTCTTGTTATCAAAAAAAAAAATAGTCTTTTTCTTTATAATTTTTTAATTTTTCAACCCAAAACGACGTTGTTTTGGGAGCGAATGTAGATAACTTATCTACATTCAATTTAGAAACATTAAAGCCTTTAATAAAAGGGTTTAAGTCTCTCATTTCACACAAGAGGGTTTTTGTCTCCTGCTGATACATCGAAAATTGGGTTGTTCTTTTTTTTGTTAAAGATGGTACACCACCGTAAATCAGGGCAAGCTCTCAAAGATACCCAGTCAAAACGACAACTTTCTTTGTCAACGGCATTATGGAACAACGCAAAAAGACAGAAGAGACACGACAAGAATATGCCCAACTCATGAGCCCGACAGAGCAGTTCGAATACTTGAAGAAAACACCACCTATTGGGATGGAGTTGTGAAGGTGCCACATCAAGATAATGAAGGACATCTCTCTGGAAAGCGGAGAAAGGATGTCGGACTCCCAAGTCTTGGAATAAACATTTATATATATAAAAGGAAGCCTTATCACCTTGGCTGGAAGGTAAGCATATCTTTTCATCTTCTCTGGGGACTTCAACCTGGAAAGAGTTATTGGTAGGGTCATCAGAGAGACGCAAAGAGTTCAATGCTGATTGGAGTGAAGCAGGACCATTTTCGTAAGATGAACGAAGCCCCAAAGCTTCTTTATCTACTCACTCTAGGCCCATAAGATTTGACGAACGAGCGAAACGAGAAGCGAGCGATAAGGACTGAGAACTGGTGCCAGAACTGATACTTACTATGGAAAAGCGCGTACCGGAAAGTTGCTCCGAAAAATGTAATAAAAATAAGATAATTCTTGTTAAATTGAGCAGGTTAAGAATCCTGAGTTTGGGATTAAAATACTAAGCGTAGCAATTAACGTTAATACTGCGTGTTTAATTGTTAAGTGGCCTATATATAGGACTTTTGCACACAACCCTAGGTTAATTTATCAGTTTTTGTGCGTGAGTGGCTGCTGAGTGTGGATCTCCTTGCTGACTTGGTGTCTCCTTCCCTTGCCTTCACCATTTCTTCATGAGAAACCACTAAATGATCATCTTTTCTCTTGGTTCTTCCTTGTAAACACCTTGTGGTTGTGTTGGGTTGAGTGAGAGGCTTGTTTTTCTGAGTTGGTGGGTTGTTCTTGAGTGCTTTGGTGCTGACTTTGGGGGTTGGTGTTGTTGGAGCCATTGTAGTGGAATTTTGAGCTTCAAAGTGTCACCTTTGTGAAGAAAGAACCAACCTTGGTATACCATTTTCGTTTTTGAACCAAGTCAGAACCTTTGGAGTTGGTGGTGAGCTCCATGAGCCCTTGCTTCTCAGTTTAGAGCTTGGGTGAGTTGTTCAACACATGATCATGAGTCTAAGTGGTTAAAAATTGAACCTTAATGCATGTAATGAGCTAAAGATGATAACCTAACGCTGGGTAATGCTTAACACACTTAGAAATGCATGTTTAAGCTTCTATAATCGGTAAAAGATAAACCTTTGGATTGGATTTTCGCGAAGTGCAGAACCTGGGTTCTGTCGCGAAATATCCAGATATTTTGTTGTGAGTATCCGGATATTGATATCCGGATATGGGTATCTGAATATCCAAATTTTGGCAGAGAGATACCCGAATATTGATATCCGGATATGCCCCCGACGAATATCCGAATATTTTGAGATTTCGAAGAACAGTAGCAGCAATGTTCATGCAGTGGGCTATTGGGGGTTTGTGGATGATAAACCCTTGGTTTACCATGTTTTTAGGCCAAATTACATAAAGATTATATGGTAGATTGCATGGAATTCAAGGTGTTATATGATAAAATAATAAAGATTTGAAAATTTCGCTATTGTTTTGATATTTTGCTTATTTTGAAGGTAAATCCACAAGATTTGGTGCTATGAAGTGATAAAGGAATCATAACAAAGATTTGAAGCTCAATCTGTCAAACCAATCAACCAATATTTGATTTGATTTGCCAATTGATACATATTTGTAATATTATTAAATAAAAAAAGAAAAGCAATTAAAGATTTGATCAAGATATGCAGAGGATTCCATAAAGATACAAGGAGGAAACACATCAACCTTGATGTGGAAAAGATATAACTTCAATAAAGAAGATGTGATAAAAGATACAACGAAGATTTAAAGCTCTAATTCATCAACCAAATCTCCAAGATTTTACATGAAAAAGGAAACAAAGATGAAATCAAATACAAATCTTGTATGGATTCATTGGAAGATTAGATGATGGATAGAACTCCTGTGGTTATAAATAAGGAGCTTGGGAGCACAACTCAATACCACTCATTCATTCACCAATTCATCTTCATTCATACTTCAAGGAGGAATCCTGTTGCAGAGCATTGGAGCACTGAGGAACCATGTCAACATCACACCAATGGAGGCTTGGGGTTCTCTTTTCTTTATTATTTCTTTTCTTTTCAGTACGCTAGAGTAGTTTTTTATGTAGTTAAGGGTAGATGAAACCCAATTGAATCTTTATGTTTATGAATTAAATTGTCTCCGAATCCTGTTCTTTTTATAATTGAATAAATTATCCGTTTTCATTGCTTTCTATGAGTTTGTTCCTTATAGAATGATTTTGGGGAATTGTATGACAATAGGGATGTTGGTGCATGAACCTTGACTTGATAATTTATCATAATCCTTGTGATCTAGGAATAGGAATAGGAATAGACATAAGGTAATTATGCAATCTTGTAATTCTTGATCTTAATGCATGTTTTCTTGGGGGAATAATCGGGGAACTAGAGTTCTTTCAAGATTTCATAGATTTATGGTAACAAGGAATTGAGCCGTAATTAACTCAGATAGAATTGATTGGCAATATGTTAAGAAACAGATTCTTGGCTTTTTAATTCATAACATATTGAGGATATTGGGGGAAGTCGAAACCTTAACTACGCTTGTTTTACATCTTAATCAAACATCATCATCTCATTCATTCTGTTAATTCTAGAATTTCATACTTGCATGTTCTTATTAAATTTAAGTTCTTTGAACAACAAATCTCTTCATCTAAATTCACTATTCTCTCAACCCAAACCTTTGATTGTCCAACTAAAACGCAATTAGTGAGCTAGTGCTTGAAATTCTGATCCTCGTGAAAATGATCTCGTACTCCGGTACACTTTATTACTTTTACGATCGTTGCACTTGCCGAATCGCACAACAAGTTTTTGGCGCCGTTGCCGGGGATCAAATTCTTCAACATTAGAAGTAACTAATTAACTTTTAGATTGGACGTTTTAAATTTCTGCATTAATTTTTTTTTTATTTTTTTTATTTTTATTTTTATTTATTTTTTCATTTTTTTTATTTCGTTTATTTATTTATTTATTAAATTTTTTTATTGTTTCATTTAATTCTGTTTTTTTTTTTTATTTTTATTTTATTTTTTTCTGCATATTCTGCATTCTTGGTTTATTTTTCTATTTTCTGTTTTGCATTTTCTATTTTTTCTGCACATCTTTTCTATCTTCGTTTATGCGAGGTACTCTTAACCCGATAATCTTGCAGTTTGATCCTGAGATAGAAAAGACAGAGAGGAAACTTAGGAAGGACGCAAAAGCAAAGAAAGCGAAAGAAACAAAAACAGCATCAACTTCTACAGAAACAAAAGAGGAACCTAAGAAAGAACCGAAGGAGGAACCAATGGCAGAAAACAACGGTCAAATTGTTCGAAGGACATTGGGGGATTACATGACCCCAGCTCGAGCTCCACAGACAGCGAGCATCGTTAGACCCCAAATAGAGGCTAACAACTTTGAACTAAAGCCGACATTACTGCAACTGATTAAAAAAGAACAGTTCGCAGGAGGAAGCACAGAGAACCCCTACTGTCATCTTGATGACTTCTTACTTTACTGTTATACATTAAAAGTAAATGGAGTTTCTCGTGATGCTATCTTGCTAAGGCTATTTCCATGCTCACTGAAGGATGAAGCAAGAGATTGGTTGCAGTCTCAACCTGAAGGAAGCATAACCAGTTGGGATGACTTAGCCGCAAAATTCTTGGCCAGATTTTTCTCAGCTTCAAAGATGGTTAGGCTCAAGGCGGAGATCTCAGCTTTTGAACAAAAAGAAAGAGAATCTTTGTACGAGGCATGGACACGATTCAAAGGATTACTCAGGAAGTGTCCTCAACATGGAATTAAAACATGGGAGAAGGCAAGAATCTTTTTCCAAGGGATGATAGCCAACACAAGAACATTGGTAAATGCCGCTTCAGGAGGCTCGTTGAAAACAAAAACTCCTGAGGAAGCACTTGAACTGTTGGAATCACTAGCATCTCAAGAATTTGACAATGCTCCTACTCCAGTTGCACCTAGAAGTTCAGGAATCATGAAGCTTGAAGGCTATGATGCAATTTTAGCTCAGAATGAACTAATGCTACAAATGCACAAGAAACAACAAGAACAATTAGATGTTCTTAATAAGAAATTTACTTCTTCTCAAGTTTCTTCTGTTTCTAATGCTAACATTAAATGTGATACTTGTCAGGAGGCTCATGCAATTGAAGATTGTGAATACATCAGAAACACGGAAAAGCAACCAGTGGAAGGCAATGCCCTATAGTATGATCAAAAGAACTCGAACAATCCAGGAAGGAATCAATATGGTAACCAAGGGTGGAAGAATAACAACCAACACCCTGGGTTGAGTTACAAGTCAAATTACCAGCTGAATCCTCCTATGCCATTGCAACAACAACCTCAAGGCACCACATCTGAGTGGGAAAAGGCGTTTGCACAGTTGTCCAAGACAACATCTGACTACATTCAACATGCAGATGCCTGATACGGCTTCAGCGTATAATCTTTTTAGAGCAAAAAGAACAAGGATTTAACAGTGATTCATTGATAAAAAGCTGTATTTTTAAAGAATCCTTGATAATTTTCCTTCAAACAAACTTTCACGCTGTTTATATGTTTTTACAGAAGAAAAGCATGAAAGGAAGTCAGGTTTCAGACAAGTGACTCGCGCTGATAGCATGAAAGATCGTGATCGCGACACAAAGCATGAACAAAGGTCAAAAATTATTGTGATCCACACGAATGGCGCGATACCCACGCTAACCGCGCCAGGAAAGGAAGTTTCTCCCTGTCTCACCGCGCGATTAGCGTGGATCTGGCGCTAATCGCGCGGCAATGGGCCTTGCGTTTTCTGTGGGCAGATTTGGACGGAAAATATAATTAAAATCATATCTTTTGAAGAGATTTGACCTGATTCAGCTGGGGGCTATAAAAAGAGTCACTGACCTAAGAAAAAAACAGACTTTTCATAGAGAGAAAACACGGAGGCAGAGATCTGAGGGAGCAATTGGAGCAAAGATTGAAGCTTTCTTCTTCTCCCAATTTCCCGGTTCTTAGTTATTTTATGCTTTCTTTTGAACATTTTGTTTTGTCAGACATGAATATGTCTGGCTAATTCCTTTTATTGTAGTTAGGGTCACAAACCCTATGCGAACCCTTGTTACGCAGATTGGTTTAATTTTTACTCGTTTATATAAAATTATTTATCTTTACCTTGTGCAAAATTTCTGTCTTCTTTATTAGACTTGATCACTCTGGTAGTTGATGACAGTTTGAGGGTTAGAACCCTAAATAAGGATATTGGGGTTTCTGATCTTGAAAGGGGGTAAGATAACAATTAGTATGCATGCTAGGAATAGATGTATGTTAATTGCAGATGCCTTAATTGTCGTATTCATTGCTTAATTCTCATGAAGGGTCACTAAGGAATTAGGATTCCAATTGGGGTTAAAGGGTTAATTCACCAATGGATTGGGATTTAACTAATTATTTTTAGATGATAATTATCTGAGTTTTTATATAGGTAAGTGTTTTTAAATCAATCCAAAGTAAGAAGTTGGGATCATAAGGTAAGTGCGCTCTAGCTACAATGCTTTTTCCATATTTTCACAAATCCATTCTTATTTTTATTGTTTATTTCTCAATTCAAAAATTACAAAAATAAGTCTTTATTTTTATTGCTACTCAAAATCAATTTTCTAAACAACAACAACTGAGTTATTCAACTTAAAGGGACTGGTTATTGTTGTACTTGGTTCGTGTCAGTGTTACTTGCTGGATAGTATCAATGCCTTTAGAGATGAAACAAGAGCTTCATTCCGGAATCAAGAAGCTTCAATTCAGAATTTGGAGACTCAAATTGGTCACCTGTTAAGATAGCTCACTGAAAGAACTCAGGGCACCTTTCCAAGTAACACTGACACGAACCCAAAGGCACAATGTAATGCAATTGTCACAAGAAGCGGGATAGTGATTCAACTTGTGGAGAAGCCACCAGTTGAAAAGAAGCAGGAAGCTGAACCTGTAGTTGAACCTGAAGTTGAGAAAGAAAAAGAAGAAGATGTAGTTGAAGCTGAGCAGAGCATTCCAGAAAGGAAGCTATTAAAATGGGAGAAAAAGAAAGCTTTGGACAGACAACCAAAAGCAGCAGACCCATCTCCCTATGCAAAAGTTCCATACCCTCAGCGGCTGAATCAGGAAGTGAAGAAGTAGCAATACACTAAATTTCTGGATATCTTCAAGAAGCTGCAAGTCAACATTCCTTTCGCAGAAGCTCTAGAAAACATGCCAAACTATGCGAAATTCATGAAAGACCTTCTATCAAAGAAACACAAGTTGAAGGAATGCGAAACAGTAGCCTTGACACAGGAGTGCAGTGCCATCATTCAGAGGAAACTTCCTCCCAAGCTGAAGGATCCCGGCAGTTTCAGTATTCCTATTGAAATAGGAGACATTGAAGTTGGGAAAGCATTATGTGATCTGGGAGCAAGTATCAACCTGATGCCACTATCCATGTGCAGAGCTCTTGGAATCAAGGAGCTCAAGCTGACTACCGTTTCTCTCCAGTTAGCTGACAGAACGATCAGAAGACCAGATGGGGTAATTAAGGATGTGTTAGTTAAAATTGACAAATTTATCTTCCCTGCAGATTTTGTAGTTCTGAATATGGCAAAAGACACCGAGATCCCCATACTGCTTGGAAGGCCATTCTTAACCACCGCAAGGGCATTGGTCGATGTGGAGCAAGGAAAAATAATACTGAGGGTGGACGAAGAAACAGTCACCATTAACATCTTTGAATCAATGAAACATCCAACAGACGGAGGAGATTGTTTTATGATAGACATACTACAAGAAGCAATTGATAATGCTATGAAAGAGGAGAATTCTCTGCTTGAGTTAGAACAAATCAACGACGACGTTGAAGTAACTGATAAAGAACCAGTGGTGGAGCAACTTGAAAGAAAGAAAGATGACATCCCTCTTGGAGCACCAAAGGTAGAGCTTAAGGAGTTACCTCCAAATTTAAAATATGTCTTCCTAGGTAACAACAATACCTATCCAGTCATCATCAATGTTGAGCTAACAACAGCAGAATAAGAGAAGCTTCTCAAAGTGCTGAAGACACACAAAGCTGCCATAGGATGGTCCTTCTCTGACCTAAAAGTTATAAATCTTTCCCTTTGTACTCATAAAATTCTAATGGAAGATAATATGAAACCTGTGAGGCAGCCATAAAGGAGACTCAATCCAACCATGAAAGAAGTGGTTAGGAAGGAGGTAGTTAAACTGTTAGATGCAGGTATGATCTACCCGATATCTGATAGTGCATGGGTAAGTCCTGTACAAACAGTACCAAAGAAAGGTGGAGTCACCATGGTGAAGAATGAGAACAATGAGTTGATTTCAACAAGGACAGTCACCGGGTGGAGGATGTGCGTTGACTATAGAAGACTTAACATAGCCACTCGGAAGGACCACTTCCCACTTCCCTTCTTGGACCAAATGTTGGAGAGACTAGCTGGCCATGCCTTCTACTGCTTCCTGGATGGGTACTCAGGCTACAACCAAATAGCAGTAGCTCCAGAAGATCAAGAAAAGACAGCATTCACATGCCCTTACAGAGTTTTCGCTTACCGGAGGATGCCCTTCGGCTTGTGCAACGCTCCTGCCACTTTCCAAAGGTGTATGCTCTCTATTTTTTCTGATATGATTGAGAAAACTATTGAAATCTTCATGGATGACTTTTCTGTTTTTTGTCCCTCTTTTGACATATGTTTAGAAAATTTATCTTGTTTTTTACAAAGATGTCAAGAGATTAATCTTGTTTTAAACTGGGAAAAATGCCACTTCATGGTGAAGGATGGCATAGTTTTAGGACATAAAGTGTCCAAAGCCGGTATAGAAGTGGATAAAGCAAAGATATCTGTTATTGAGAAACTTCTCCCTCCCTCTAACGTCAAAGGCATTCGAAGTTTTCTTGGTCATGCAGGTTTCTACAGACGCTTTATCAAAGACTTCTCCAAGATAGCGAAGCCGCTATGTAAACTGTTGGTCAAAGATGAGGAATTCAACTTCACAGACGAATGTCTGGTTGCATTTAATAATTTGAAAGATCAATTGACCACTACACCTATTATCACTGCACCTGATTTCACACTTCCTTTTGAATTAAAGTGTGATGCTAGTGATTATGCTATAGGAGTTGTTTTAGGACAAAGAAAGAATAAACTGTTGCATGTGATTTATTATGCTAGTAAAATTCTGAATGATGCACAAAAGAATTATGCAACCACTGAAAAAGAGCTACTAGCAGTTGTCTATGCATTTGACAAATTTAGACTGTATTTGTTGGGGTCTAAAGTAATTGTTTATACTGATCATGCTGCTTTAAAATATTTGTTGAATAAGCAGGATGCAAAGCCAAGACTACTAAGGTGGATGCTACTCCTTCAAGAATTTGAAGTGGAGATCAGAGACAAGAAAGGTGTGGAAAACTTGGTGGCTGATAACCTCTCCAGAATTCAAGAAAAAGATGTTCAAGATGGACCTGAGCTGAAGATCAAAGAGGAGTTTCCGGATGAGAAAATCATGGCTATCAATGTCATTCCGGATCCACAACCGAAGGAAGCAAAGACCACAAGTACACCTGCTTGGTTCGCAGACTTTGCAAACTTCAAAGCAGCAGGAGAAATTCCAAAAGACTTCACATGGCAACAAAGAAAAAAGTTCTTACATGACGTCAAGAAATACTTATGGGATGAGCCCTTCCTTTTCTACAGATGTGCTGATGGCGTAATAAGGCGCTGTATTTCAGAAGAAGAGATGAAGGACATCATGTGGCACTGTCATGGTTCCAACTATGGTGGACACTACGCAGGAGAAAGAACATCTGCAAAGGTGCTGATGAGTGGCTTCTATTAGCCAACATTTTACAAAGATGCAAGGAAGTTCGTTGAATCTTGTGATAGATGACAACAGACAAGTGGAATAAGTACTGGCTAAATGCGGAGTGAAGCATAAGATTGCAACACCATACCATCCGCAAACAAGTGGTCAAGTGGAGATTTCCAACCGAGAGCTCAAACGTATCTTGGAGAAAACATTGGGAAGCTCTAGAAAAGATTGGTCCAAGAAGCTTGATGATGCACTATGGGCATACCGGGCTGCCTTCAAGACACCAATTGGTATGTCCCCCTTCCAGTTAATGTTCAGAAAAGCTTGTTACTTACCAGTGGAGATGGAGCACAAAGCACTGTGGGCAATCAAGTACCTCAACTTTGACTCCAAGACTGCAGCTGAGAAAAGGCTCCTGCAACTAGATGAACTGGATGAGTTCAGACTCTCTGCTTATGAGAGTGCAAGCCTGTACAAAGAGAAGACGAAGAAGTGGCATGACAAGAAGATCCTACCCCGAGACTTGAAAGTAGGGAATCAGGTATTACTCTTTAACTCTCGTCTTCGTCTCTTCCCTGGAAAACTTAAGTCCCGATGGTCGGGACCGTTCATCGTAAGGAACATGAAATCATATGGAGCAGTAGAGATCAGTCCGCTAGATTCCGATAGAAGCTTTACAGTGAATGGTCAACGGCTGAAACTCTACATGGGAGGAGAATTTGACAGGGGAACAACCATTGTTGCCCTTGTCGAGGTAACCTGAACGAGGTACGTCAGGCTCGTGACGTTAAACAAGCGCTGACGGGTAGGCAAACCCGTAGTTTACTACTTTATATTTAAATTTTTAATATTAGTTTATTTTTCCAAGAAAAAGAAAAAGCAAAAAGAGACAGACAAGTGAGGTGAAGGACATGACTGAGTTCAAAGGAAGTGGAAACGATGATTCAAGAGGCTAAGAAATTATGATGGCTCCGATGAGGAGGCCACTTTTGATGCTGCCAGGCGGAGCACTTCTACATCTCAGGCCACCACTTCACATGCTGCAGGTGATGAGGACACCGAGATGATTCCAGCCATTGTCCGAGATGCTGAGGAGGAGGACCGAGACGATTGAGACATCCCTTTCCCATTCCCCCTCTTACTTTCTTTTGATGATTTGAGATTAGCATTTTTGGTTTGATATGCTAACCCTGTGGCATGTTTCATACTATCGCTTTTATGATTAATGAGTTAGATTTTTTCATGATGTTTCAGAATAAGCGACTAGTTATGCTTAGCTTGCATACGATTTATTTTTAGATTTAAATCTATTTTTAGATTTAAATCTATTTATGAGGACAGAAAAATTTAAATTTCGGAATGGAGAATGCGCGCTCCATCTAAGCAACATTGGATTGAGACCGGAGGAAATTTTCATGAGTACACACAGACAGAATCTTCGGTCAAGACAGGGAACTATCTCAAATCCCTTTTTCATGCAATTTTTAAATTTTGTTTTTCATGTTTTAGTTAGACAATTTTAATTGTTTTGTTGGAAAACCCCAAGCCAATATTTTTTGTGAAAAATCTGATTTTTTTTAAGTTTTCTCAATGTTAAATTGGAAAATGGCGGGAAGTTTTAAATTAGTAATTGATTCAGGGCATGACGATGCACTTATACATATTCACTTTTATGAACATCATTGCAAGAAGTGACATGATTCATTGAATATATTATTGATATTGAAGTCGTTTGAGAACTAGAGTTGGGAAATTACTGTGCATTCATAGCCGTAAGGTTTTGAGCCTATACAGAAAATTTTTATTGAGTGTGCATTACATTGTTGAGATACTCTAGAACTTGCTTTGTTTCTTGATTGAAATGGTCTGTGATTTATTCTGTAGAGATGATAGAGGCATGTTCTTTCTCTAACTAGATGGCCAAATAGCTAACCTTGATGATATTCCTTAGTTAAGCCCCCTTGAGCCTAGACTTTTTGTTCATGAAGAACCCTTGAATGTGGATAGCCACTTCCCCAAATGAATCCTCACCTTAATAGCAGATTAATTTCAGATTTCAAGTAAGGAGTGGACATGAGTTTCAATTATGCAGGCGTTCAACGGAATGAAGAAGTACAAGCAAAAGGGCAAAGCCCAAGAAAGAAAGAAGAAGGAAAAGAGTTAAGAAAAGCGAGCAAAATGCTCCAAACAAAGAAAGGAAAAAGAAGCGAAAAGCAAGAAAATACGCTTAGAAAGAAAACGACAAAAGAGAAAGTTCAAAGCAGAAAAATAAAGAACTGGAAAGAAGAAGAAAGCTTTACAGCCTGAAGAACGAACAACACTTGTTCTATTCCTTAATCTGAATTGATCTTTAAACTCTTGTCCCAAATTCTTCCCTTCTCTTTCACCAGGCCACGTTACAACCTTGCGAAAGACCTCTTGATCTGGTTGATTTATCATAAGAACTGTGGAGAGCGAGAATATAAGCAAGCCTATGGTAATGTTGATTCAGTGGAATAAGAGACAAACACCAACCTCTATACAGTTGAGCAAAAGAGAATTAAAAACTCCTAGTGAGGGAGTGTCTCAGGAAGTTTCCCCTGTTCTTGATCTTAAGGAATTTCATTAAAATTTTTGACTAATGAATTATTGATCTGATTATTTTAATGTGTCATCCTTTCCTTAAGTCTGAATGCTCTGATTAAATCCTGCCTGTGAATTCCATGCAATTGAAAGTCTTGATTGAATTTCATTGAGTTTATTCTAGTGCATTGCTGAGGACAACAAAGTTCAAATCTGGGAATGTTTGATAAACCCTTGGTTTACCATGTTTTTAGGCCAAATTACATAAAGATTATATGGTAGATTGCATGGAATTCAAGGTGTTATATGATAAAATAATAAAGATTTGAAAATTTCGCTAATGTTTTGATATTTTGCTTATTTTGAAGGTAAATCCACAAGATTTGGTGCTATGAAGTGATAAAGGAATCATAACAAAGATTTGAAGCTCAATCTGTCAAACCAATCAACCAATATTTGATTTGATTTGCCAATTGATACATATTTGTAATATTATTAAATAAAAAAAGAAAAGCAATTAAAGATTTGATCAAGATATGCAGAGGATTCCATAAAGATACAAGGAGGAAACACATCAACCTTGATGTGGAAAAGATATAACTTCAATAAAGAAGATGTGATAAAAGATACAACGAAGATTTAAAGCTCTAATTCATCAACCAAATCTCCAAGATTTTACATGAAAAAGGAAACAAAGATGAAATCAAATACAAATCTTGTATGGATTCATTGGAAGATTAGATGATGGATAGAACTCCTGTGGTTATAAATAAGGAGCTTGGGAGCACAACTCAATACCACTCATTCATTCACCAATTCATCTTCATTCATACTTCAAGGAGGAATCCTGTTGCAGAGCATTGGAGCACTGAGGAACCATGTCAACATCACACCAATGGAGGCTTGGGGTTCTCTTTTCTTTATTATTTCTTTTCTTTTCAGTACGCTAGAGTAGTTTTTTATGTAGTTAAGGGTAGATGAAACCCAATTGAATCTTTATGTTTATGAATTAAATTGTCTCCGAATCCTGTTCTTTTTATAATTGAATAAATTATCCGTTTTCATTGCTTTCTATGAGTTTGTTCCTTATAGAATGATTTTGGGGAATTGTATGACAATAGGGATGTTGGTGCATGAACCTTGACTTGATAATTTATCATAATCCTTGTGATCTAGGAATAGGAATAGGAATAGACATAAGGTAATTATGCAATCTTGTAATTCTTGATCTTAATGCATGTTTTCTTGGGGGAATAATCGGGGAACTAGAGTTCTTTCAAGATTTCATAGATTTATGGTAACAAGGAATTGAGCCGTAATTAACTCAGATAGAATTGATTGGCAATATGTTAAGAAACAGATTCTTGGCTTTTTAATTCATAACATATTGAGGATATTGGGGGAAGTCGAAACCTTAACTACGCTTGTTTTACATCTTAATCAAACATCATCATCTCATTCATTCTGTTAATTCTAGAATTTCATACTTGCATGTTCTTATTAAATTTAAGTTCTTTGAACAACAAATCTCTTCATCTAAATTCACTATTCTCTCAACCCAAACCTTTGATTGTCCAACTAAAACGCAATTAGTGAGCTAGTGCTTGAAATTCTGATCCTCGTGAAAATGATCTCGTACTCCGGTACACTTTATTACTTTTACGATCGTTGCACTTGCCGAATCGCACAACAGTGGACCCTAGATTGAAGAAGTTGAACTTCTGTTTTAATTGAACTAAGTCAGAATCAAGTGATTAAGGGCTTGTGGCTTTGTGTGAAGCCTTAAGACGTAAAACGTAAAGGAAAGGCGTTGTCTTTAAGTTGTAAGCTTGTAGAGTATGATTAATGATATATTATTGGTCCATAACAGATTGTGATACTCCTGTGTTTGGACTTTGAGCTTGTGGACTCTTGGATTGGATAGTTAGCTTAAGAGGTAAGCTTTCGTGTCCTCGGTTTAGCCATGTTGTGGTTCCACCATGTCCCATGGGGGTATGGTTATATGCATGCTGTGTTACATGCTTTGGATATTTTGAAATGCTATTGAGTTGTTATATGCTAGTGCCTTTATGATATGTGATGGTCCTCGAAAGTTGAGGTCCATTAAGTATATATTGCTCCACAAAACTCCTATTTTGGTCACAAATCACTCTCTTTAACCTTCTTTTTCCATGAAGAGCAATTGTTTTGAAAAGTGGACCAGAGCAATACTTGAAACGGGAATTAGAGTAGGCCTGAAGAAATTGACATTATCTTTTTCACATATGATTATTGGGTTGATTTGTTTTGATCAGGAAACCTGAGACCCGACAGAAGGATCCACACATTGAGGAAAAGAAGGAAGAATGTTGCACAGGAGGGAGCATAAAAGCCTGCTACAGTACAAAAGCAGTAAAAGGCAGCAATCCAGAGCCTCCACGTCAGCCACGGCAGAGAAGGTGGAGGTGTCTCCCTGATTCTGAAATTCTCACCCGAGAGAAAGCACCAAAAGCAAGGGGGACCACTGCCATGCAGAGCTGAGTTGGCAGAAAGCAGACCGGCTATTGGAGAGGATTTGAAGAAAGCACAGCCCTTGATGAAAGGAACAATGAGGATCTGACGGAAGGACTCTATAAAAGGAATAATCAATCTTCATGAGAAGGATCATTTAGACACCATTCGAGGGCTGCCATTTATTTTCCTATTTTTTTCTCTTTTGTAATGCTCACTAGGAGCTAACTTCCTCTAAGTAGGTGAGGGTTCCATAGAAGTAATCCCTTTTGTTTTAGGATAACTTTGTAAGGAATACATATTTTATGAATGAATTCTGAGCTGTTCTTTGGTTTAATATATTGATTCTGTGAAGCCCTTTGGGCTGGCAACCTCATCCAGCGATCACTCGGTCAATGAAACACTGACAAGGGCGTGCGGAGCAGTCTCAAGACCTTGGGGTAGTTCAGCCTGAAGAAAGGAGGGAGGAATACCGGGAATGAAGAGCACTGCCATGTGAATCCAGGCTCTTTTGAGAAGGCAGCATGGTTTCCTTGCATTTAACTCTAAGTTCTACGGAGTAATGTGGAGAGTAAGGCCTTGCTCTCTTGTTTACTTGTGGCAAAACGACGGAAGGAGCAGAATCCATTTCTAAAATGTGCTACCAAGCAGGGTTAACCAAATGGATGAAAATATGGAACCCGAAAACACCTACTTAACTCTCTCTAAACTCAATCTCACATCAAACTTTTGTCATAACTTTCTTCACGATAACCAAATTGTGCTTATCTACTGCTGCTCTTATAATCACTTCACCAACTTCTTTTGAGTTACTTCAATTTGATGCCTTGATATTCAATGACTATGCTAAGTTATTCACTGCTCTCATCTAGTTCAGAATGGTTAACACTGTTTAACTAACTGACTAGAGATTGCTCCTTGTGAAGCTTGGTTGAGAATAGCTACTTTCCTTTCATTTTCTAATTCTACGAATTAAGTTTCCCTGAACGTTTCCTTCTTCACAATTGCTCCCTGAGGACGATAAATCTGGGGCTAACAACACCCTGTATTGCTTGACACGTA